AGAATCAATGTTCGGACATTCCATGTCAGATTTCTTTACTCAGTCAATAAATCCGTTTCAAACAAGAAAATCCCTTTCTGAAAGAAGCAAAAGGCCTCACACATAATTTGTATTGTTTTTTTTGCTGTTGTTACAGTGGTCACTAAGCTGGTACCCGAATATATTGAGTGAGTGAGTTAAATTTGAATTCTACAGCCAAAGAAATCGCCAAATCCGCGAGTAGAGCTCTTGGTGTAATTATAAGTAAATTTAAACTATTTGGAGGAATGCCATATGACGTATATAATACGCTATTCAATAATCTTACTAAACAGAAAATAGAAGTTTTCCGATTTTGGAGAAAGATAAACTCTGTTCCGCCATCTAGACTTGTTTCACAGATTCGAAATTGGTCTCTTACGTTCCGCAAATCATGGGATAAGACAGTTAATGCAATGTTTATATCACTACAACTTCCATCTATGGATTTGTTTAATTTCTCTATTAGTGAATTCCATCTAATCACACGCACTTTGAGATGCAAGGACGCCGATTGTTGGTCACGTGATTTATGGAATGACACTGGTCATGAACATGGGAATAAGTTGAGGACTTTCAGACTCTTTAAGAATACTCTAAATACGTCGACCTATGTCCGCTCTGTTTTAGACAGACAGCAACGAAGTACCTTGGCAAAACTACGCTGCAGTTCTCTCCCTTTGGAGGTTGAAGTTGGTCGCTACTCCCGTCCAAAGACACCACTACACCTCCGTTTATGTAGGTTATGTGACCGCCAGTGTGTCGAACACGAAGTACATTTCCTCACAGAATGTGAATTCTACTCTGATCTACGATATGACTATTCTCATTTGTTTTCTCCAATACATACTTGTCTAAGAAGTTTAACCCCAGAAGACCAATTTATATATGTTATGCAGAATGATAGTCTAGCTATTCCCCTAGCCGCAGTTGCTACTGCTATGTATAAAAGAAGAAAATTTCAACTTGCATTGTAAGTAGTGCACTTCTGATCCACAAGTATCTCACTAAACGATACTAGCATAATCTCTTTATATAAAACTGAGCTATTTTTCATCTCTCGTGTCTCATAGGCCAACCGGCCGGGTGGTATATTATATATTTTGTCTTGTACTTTGAATGTATGTATTTTTATACTGCGTGACACGCAAATAAAATATTATCTTATCATATCTAAATTCCCGGGACCCCCAAGATTCATTACCGAGTCCCCAGGACTCGCTATTACATAGCCTTCGGTAAATCCCCGGGATACCATTGCTGGGATGATCGATCAAAGTCATTGTCTTCATACAATAAACGTCCATCACGTATGAGTATTGCTTCATTTGGATGTTCGTAATGTTCAAGCTGTATGACGGCGGCCTTTACCTAATCGAGTCTGGACCAGACAATCCAGTGATCGATGATGTGCTCACTTTTAAAAAAAAAAAAAAAATTGGGGGGGGGGGTGGGGGGGGTGTATATTAGAATATGTTAAGGTCCTCGGATTCATCAGTACAAAAAAGTAAGTCGTCATGAGCCTAATATTGGTCCCCTTCAATCCCAATTGCATGGATCGATGCTCATGATGTCAATCACTGGATTGTCTGGTCCAGACACGATTATTTACAGTTCGCCGTCATATAGCTGGAATATTGCTGAGTGCGGCGTTAAACAAACAAACAAACAAACAAACTAATCCCTATGACCTTACGTAACAATTTATGTGTACAAATTACTGTACACTGGTATTTTGAATGAGATATACTTGAATAAAAATAATTACAAAAATATTTTGGCCAAGATTCCAAATTTGGGAAACATTAACTTTATCATTAGTCATATCGCCAACTCCTTTAACATTCATAAACTATGGATTTTCACTACAAATTAAATTTTGGTTGAAGATAGGTGTTAATAATACAAACATTTCAGAGCAATGTTTGAAACTCATAGGCAAAGAATGTTAATTCTAATTCTACCATGAATTTCGAATTTACTCGATTCTAATTGGTCAATCAGAGGCTATTAAATCACAACAAACCCCCTCTGATTGAAACAGATGGTTTGACGGCCGCATCACCGCGGAAGCTAATATTCATAGAATAGTACTATTTTCAGTCAGTGTCCGTAGGCATATTTAAATAATTATATCTGTAGTTACAGGTTACAAAATGCACAGACGCGGTTACTACAATATTCAAAGGATGTGTGGCAATACATTTCGTGCAGAAAACACGATAGAAATCTACACAGGGAATGATTTTACGTTTTGGAAACAAAGAGAGCTTGGAATTTTGGCGCTTTTCTATATACGACTGTGACGTCATTTCTTTCGCGTCACAATGAGCGATATGACGTCATAATGGTGACGCGCGATGTAGAGCGAAAGCCTTGCAAAGCTTGCTTTGTTTTCTTTAGGGATGCCCACCTCATGTCAGCTTACCAAGCTGCCGTGCTTATATGCTTTCAATGCCTGTCATATGTTAGAGTGAAGTATTACGGTGTAAACAAACTGCTTGAGTATATACGGCACCATAATTTGTTCGGTGATTCCGTAATTCAGATCGATAACCCATTCAAAACACTGAACTCAACCCATGCCGCTTCACTCAGTATATTTGCTAACACCAAAGAGTTCGCATTTTATTTAGTCATGGGAGAATGGAAATAAACATACTGTGTTTTCAATGTAGAGCTAGGTTACCTAGCTCTACATTGAAAACACAGTATGCTTATCTCCTAATTCTACCATTCTAAATCACAATAAATCCCTTCTGTTTTAAACAGCCGATTGGATCTCCTTTTGGGGTGCCCACCTCAATATGCCATTCTTATATGCTTTCAATGCCTGTCATACGTTCGAGTGATGTATTAGGCTATGAGCAAACTTCACAAGCATTTACAGCGCCATATTCTTTTCTGAGGCAGATTTTCCTAACATCTGAAAAGTGAAGTTGTGCGAGAATTGCGCTTACGCGACCCTGGATGTACCGCCGGCTATAAAATAACGTAGAGATGCAGAATGTAAAAATTCCTAACTGATGGTCAAAATCTAACTGGAAATATTAAACCGTTTGAAAAAATAGATGCTGATAAGTGTTGTCCCGAGAATTTATTCTGCGTTGAAAATCAGGAAAGTCTCCGCTTTTTATCGTACACCCATAAAAGTACTGTGCGACGGGTTTTTTTATTTAGAAGCTTTACCGAAACTGTGAGCAAACAAAATACTGCCTTATATCTGAACCACATAAATACATATCAAATGGAGTTATATGCTTATGTATAACGACATACATTCAATGCAAAAAAAAATAGCCTGCCGTAAATGGCGAAAACTGTTTTTCCTCTATGACGCCAAAAGGCGACAGAGAGATTACACACGTACAGAGAAAAGGGGGCATAACTCCGCTATGCTTAGCACTAGTTTACTTTAACTCTGGGCACTGTTCTGGTGAGAACTAGCTGTGGATAAGGACAATATATTTTCGTGGTGTTTTGTTCACGAGGAACCAAACAATTCCAACACAAATATCGATATTTAAACTGTATAGGTTAAAGTATAAAAAAAATCCAAAAAAACATAAATGATGAAATCGTATTTCATAAGAAAAGAAGAATAGCGAAATTGACAGCCCTATCTAACTAATAAATCAGTCCTTAGATTCCAACATTCTCCTGATTGTGAAGGTGTAATTTGACTAATGTTGCATCATCATTAATGGCGCACTAGCCTTAACAAATGTAATGAATAACTAAAAATAATGACACCACCTCATATGAGTCGGCCTCTCGTAGGGCTGGGACGGGTAACTCGGGTACTCGGGTCGGGTGGGTACTGACTAGGACCAGGGCACCCACAGGACTACCCAGACCCGTGGTTAGTCACGTGATTATATTGTTTAATTGCAAAAAATATCTAGAACTCGATGGTTACATTATAAGTGACAAATGATCACATTTCTTTCCGACTATGCAAACATTCCTTCTGACTTTATATGTTTGCTTAAAGATAAACTTCAGTTAACTTCAGTGTATGCATGACCAGATCATTTTATACCTGTATCTAAATACATTTTGACAGGAGTACGGTCAAACGTTTCCCAATCGGACAAGTTGTACCTATCTCTTGAGGCCTACAGCGGGTACCCGGGTCCGGTAATAGGGGGTTAGGTACCCGGGTAGTAAATTTGGACTCGTCCCAGCCCTAATCTCTCGTGTTTCAGATCCAGTTGTGACGGACCACTTCAAACTTTATTAACCGTCATAAAAACTAAGACGCTAAAAGCAAAGTAAATGTTATCTGGTGTAGTGGGGAAATAAGCAGGAAAGGTGGATTTTACTTGCGCTTCTTTAAATTCATCCATACATCCATCCATCCATCCATACATACATACATACATCCATCCATCCATCCATCCATACATACATACATACATACATACATACATACATACATACATACATTTCTTTTATCGTTTTTTTGTTTGTTTGTTCTATAACGCTGCACGTAAGGTCATAGGGATTAGTTTGTTTGTTTGTTAGTTGTTTAACGCCACACTCAGCAATATTCCAGCTATATGACGGCGGTCTATAAATAATCGATTCTGGACCAGACAATCCAGTGATTGACATCATGAGCATCGATCCACGCAATTGGGATACGATGACATGTATGAACTCCAATCAATCATAATCCTTTTGTTTATAATACTGGCTTCACCCTTTTGTCAGGAGGACACATGTCACCTTAGTGACCTTTAAAGGGACGGTCGGACATGCGCACATCGCTTCTTGGGGCTTGACTAGCGTCTCTCGGAACCACTCAGATCTCCTCGGGTTAATCCGTCAGCACTGGAGTGGTGCCATTTCATATCTTCACTGTTATATGGATACCGCCATGTCTAGGTGCATAAAAAATCATCCATCTTATTCAAAGTCAGACAGAAGTAACCGATGCCAGAAATCTCGAGGTATCACCAAAACATAAAATGATTGAAAAAGATTCTTATTATGTATTATCGAAAGGTACACAGTCCTCTTCGGCGTCTGTTACAATTCTGATGTTGTCCCTCTATTTCCCAGGACCTGTAATTTTAAAACACACGGCAAATACAAAATGTATGCAGTAGAAAACGCTTTAGTACTTGGTATTGTTAAACACATTATCCCTTGGTAGCCCAGTGATACCAGGCGCCGTAACGCGCTGTGCAGGGTTGCGCCCCTTTGCAATGTCAGGATTCGCGGGTCGTGGTTCTGGATCCTAGATTCACAATGATTATGATCCATGTTGGTTTTGGAATATCAGACGCCACGACTCTATTTTTTAAAAGGATATTTTATAAATGAAAACGAAAAATATCAATAGCTTATTTCTTTTATTTATATATTGGCCTGTGAACACCTGTGAACAATTTGAAACAACGTCTAATTGTGTCCCTTACATGGCCCAATCCAGGCTCGAACACAGCATCGCTGGGAAGGCAGGTTACAGTCTGCTGTGTCCGGCACACCGTATCCCTGGCAACCCATCTGGATGCTCTGGCACGACCCACAGACGGAGGCACACGTTTTCTCTGCCGACAGAACATTTTTAAAGTATATAAGCATTTCTAGCTATAACGATCTGTGAATATCCCGGGGTAGAATAGGTCTTCAGCAACCCAAACAAGGCGACTTTGCTTGTCGTAAGAGGCGACTAACGGGATCGGGTGGTCAGGCTCGCTGACTTGGTTGATGCATGTCATCGATCCCAAATGCGTGGATCGATGCTCATGATGTCAATCACTGGATTGTGTGGTCCGCACTCGATTATTTACAGACCACCGTCATATAGCTGTAATATTGCTGAGTGCGGCGTTAAACAACAAACCAACCAATTCTAGCATTTCTAGCTATAACACAGACACCTATGGAAGCCTAGGAGGGACACTGTCGCGTTGCCACCCTTATAAATAATAATTATTATTAAAATAACAAGATAACATAATGTATTTGAAGATTTGCGGGTGTTACTAGGTGTTCGATAATTTTCCGCACTCTTTTCTTCGCGTACTCAGGAAGACATACATGCCTTCAGTCTGGAATACCATTACGTCATAAAAAAAATGACAACGACAACTGTTGGCAGTATGCAAGGAAAAGTGAACTGAATAGAAGCGTTTATTTAAAAGACTTAGCTTTAATCAAACGCATGGATCAGGTATTATTGTCACCATGCTAGGTGCGGCGTTGTTTTCAAATTTGAGAATAGTCCAGAAGATGTCATGGTTTCTAAACCCATTTTGCAAATTGCAGGACAATAAACATGTATTTCTTTACGTAAAACTGGCTTTCACAGGTGATATCATTTTGGTGAGATTTAGCTATACCTCCAAGAAGATATCACTACAATAAAATCGCATCACAATGCTTTTCAGGCAATTGTGACGTCATCGGTTACTATGACGTCACAATCAAATGACATCACTAATGCATATGCCCCTTGCCACTGAAGCTGTACTAGGGTCACGAATATTCTTTATCATACATTTAGATATGATTATATACAAAATCAAAAATTCTTGAAAAGTAGGAGACTGCTGTTGGAAGCGAAAAATACACAGACGCTGTTCACGTAACAAAAATGGCGCTTTGGGAAACGAACAATCTCGATTGACGAGTTAAATGAAAAATTTGCAGCTTATAACGAAAATCTTTTCGAGAGAATAACAAACAGCAAGAAATGATATAAACTCCATAAATGACAATCTGTTATCATTTTGCCTTGTCAATGTGGACCTAACGTAAAAATGATGTCTACAGTTTGCGTACGGGGTAGGGGATAAAGGAAGAAAATTTAAGGTGAGGTAACTCGTGTATGCCAAAAGTTCCCTCAAAGTATTATGTTAACTGCATGTGAACTATCAAGTGTTATGTTCACTGCAGTGAACTATCGAGTGTTATGTTCACTGCATTGAAAAAATCACTTTTCTCAACTTCAGAAAACTCAGTCTTTCACACTGAAGTATATAATACATCGGATTGCACTGGAGTGATATTCTCTATTGTGAAATGTTCACGACGAGGATACATACCCTTTGTGATGGTCGTGTTTGGTTCTGGAGTGGTCGGTTTTGGCCCCGGCTCGCAACACCACTCGTTGGTAGTACATCCGGGGATGCCATACTCCAGCGGACCATCACATTGGACGCCGGACCAAATAGGGCCCTTGCACGTGCCTCCCTTATCTTGACATGTCGACTGCACAGGCGCTACAACGACATCGTCAGTAATATTTGTCAAGAGTTATTATGATATATGAAACTGTTAAAACAGCGGTTGTGTGAATTTGAAACCTCTGATTAACCAATCTACGATGAATTTGAAAGATTTCTGATTCTAGATTCTAGAATGATTTTTGTTTTGTTTTGTTTGTTGTTTAACGCCGCACTCAGCAATATTCCAGCTATATGACGGCGGTCTGTAAATAATCGAATCTGGACCACACAATCCAGTGATTGACATCATGAGCATCGATCCACGCAATTTGGATCGATGACATGCATCAACCAAGTCAGCGAGCCTGACCACCCGATCCCGTTAGTCGCCTCTTACGACAAGCATAGTCACCTTTTACGGATTCTAGAATAAATTTGAAAAATACTTGATTCTGATTGGATGAATCAGAGGTTTGTAATCCCCCTCTTATTGGAACAGCTGATTTCACAGCCGGTCTGATATTTATAGGGAAGTACTTGTTACGTCTTTCTCAAGTATTTTCGGTAATCATCTGAAAACAAGGACATTAGTTGCGGTTACAACAATTTCTCAAAGCATGTGCGGCGTTAAATAAGGGGCAGAATCACGATTCAAAATGAGCAAACTATTTTGGACTGACGAGATGTTGGAAGAATTAATCAATTTGGTTCAATAACGAGAAGTCATTCTCGTCACCAAATATGCATTTGCCTACCCCGACTCCGTCTTTTCAACATGGCAATATACAAAATACATACGACAACAGCAAAACATTCTTCGTCAGTAGCATCCATCTTGGCAAGATAATTCCCGCCAAAACTTTGACGGCCTGTCAAAACTTTGATGAGTGTAAACAGCCCAACTTGGACCAAGAAAACTTGGTCAAAGTTTTCTTTGACCAAGTTTTTTATCAAAGTTTTTTATGTGGGGGACAACATGGAAAACTTAACATTTGGAGCTTATCTATATATCCGACCTGACACGTCATATCTTTGGGTCGCATTATGCATCATGACGTCATAATAGTGACGTGCGGTGTAGAACTGAATCTTTCGTAGCTCGCTTTTTTTCTGCAGGGGTGATCGCTTGTTTCCATATAAAGTTGTTGTTCTATACCTTTTCAATGCTTATCGTATATGAGAGGAAAGTACATTGGTGTAAAAACAGGAACTGGATATGTACAACAATAGACTTTGTTAAAGGCTACTATGGATATTTCCGTTATTCAGAGGGGCGGTGGGGTAGCCTAGTGGTTAAAGCGTTCGTTCGTCACGCCGAAAACCCGGGTTCGATTCCCGACATGGGTACAATGTGTGAAGCCCATTTCTGGTGTCCCCCGCATTGATATTAGTGAAATATTGCTAAAAGCGGCGTAAAATCATAATCATTCACTCACTCCTTAATTCAGATCGACAACCCACTAAGAATATTGGACTCGACCATGAGCTTCACGCAATATTATCGCTCCTACTCCGGCGCAGTGATATCTTAGCATTATACCACTGCCGCAGGTTAAGTGACACGCGGATTGACTTGTCTCTTGTTTGTAAATAAACACGCTTATTCTGAAATCAGAACATACTAGCCTTATGCAAGCCTTTCAGTGTGCTTTACATATTGTTTTGCATAATTATATAGAAATACTACTACAACTGCGACGGCGAGGTGCATGACAACATATCTTTACACATCAAAGTGACTTATCGCTAGCTCTCCGTAGGGCTTCGATGACAGCACGTGGAGCCGTGCAACCAATGTACATGAAGAATAAATACGCAAATGGAAAGAGTTCTTCACGTTTTAGGATATTTTCTCCATGAAAGTTAACCATTCTATGACAGGTGTTGATCTAAATGTGTAGATTTGTCAACAATGAAACAGATGTTTATTTGTTTGTTTGTAGACTGGCCCAGACTCGATTATTTACAAACCGCCGTCATATAGCTGGAATATTGCTGAGTGCGGCGTTAAACAAAAAAAACAAGCAACCAATTACATGCACAACATTTACTCATATAAGTAATTTTGCCTATGTGTAACTATAGATACGTGTGTATATGTAAATGTACTATGCGTTCACGTGAAAATCAGCTTAGGTGTGTAAATAAAGTATGTAAATGGTGTAAAGCACACATATTCGTCAGTTTTTTCACCATGTTATACATAAAACAGCATCTATATCAATCAAAGTAGAATGAGAAGAGAGTTACTTTACCGAAATCATGAAGCAACATGTGTTTGATTTAATTTGTACACAAAGTTTTGAAACCCAAAGAAAACACCGTCCGCCCAGGTCTGGATGTCCAATTCTATATACTGAATTGCGTCAACTTCAGAATACAGAATTGTTGACAATTTGTTTGGTGTTGGCAAAACAAAATAACCACTGATGGCGCTACGATCGAGCCCAGACTCTCCAGCCGAGTTCGGCAAGGGTGGAAACTGGACTTTTACAGTCAGTTAACTCCCTTGCCTCAAGAAGATGTCCAATATGTAAAGTTACATTTATTTAGGACATAGTAGTATTGGGCAAATATTTCCCATTGTTTCTGGTCGCAGGCAGAATAAACACTAAGAACGACGCAGTATGTTATTAATATTCTGAAGAAGTCAGTGACAACGCTATGCATTCACTACATGTCTGGGACGTCCTACTGGTATGGAGGCAAACATAGAGGTCAATGCACGCTACATCCATGTGACACCAACGTCACGAGCACCTTGGCGCTCAGAAGATTATCTGTAAGTAAGCTGGTCTGAAGTACTATCAAACAGTCTACATTTCCCTGTGTAAATAGTGGTGAGATCTTTGATATGTGTGTCACCGTGTGGAAGTTAGGATGTTGATTGGGGAGTTGAAGGTTTCGTTGGGGGCGAGGGCGGGTGAAGATTACCTCTATGTGGACATCATTTTAACCAAAAAAAACAAAATAACAATAACAAAAAAACAACAACAAAAAACACACAAACAAAACTTCAATCGGAATGTAAATTTTATTTACTACGATACATGTGGCCCCATTGATCATCCTCATCTTCATTTCCCGGAAGGACCTATAATTATAAAGAAACAAGACTGATAGTGTTATGCAACTTTAGTGGACAATTTGCAAGCAATATGAGGATGTATTAATAAAGGTATCCCTGAGAGTCATTACATCACAGCACAGTGAATGAGTTTGGTTTAGCCGCACACAGACAGTTTTTCAGCTATTTCCAAGCATAGTAACATCATATAGGAGGAAAGCCCTTGATGAGTGAGTGAGTTGGGTTTAACGCCGCTTTTAACAGTATTCCAGTTATATCGCGGCGTGTCAGCTTAATGTGGGAGGAAACCCCGAAGTAATGCAGGTCTCAAACGTTAACCACTTCGGTGAAATCCACGAGCACGGGTATGGTGCTGACAAACCTAGAAACATAATTGGGGCGAACCGGGATTCGAACCAATAATCATAGGTTTCTAGCGTGCCCAAGGGACGCAACTCTGCACAGCGAATCACAGCGCCTTAGACGACTGACCCCCCTCCCACCCCTTGATGAACGTCTTAGAGACGTTAACCCTGTGAAACCCATGAAAAGGGGTATGATGCTGACAAACCAACCATTATAATATGGGTGAATCTTAGACTCGAACCCAAGAGCAGGGTATTCTGCTACGCCTAAGGGATACAACTCCAGCGTGTTAAATGGGTGTTATATTCGAAATAATTCTGTTTTTCAAGATAGATTTCATACATTACAAATTCCCAGACATGAAGAGGTAATTAATTCTTACATGGACCCGCCCAGTACGGGACACAGCAGATTTCGTTGCAGTCGGTGGTGCCGGTCACCTTGAAACCAGTGCAGAGAGTCTGGCAGTTTCCACACGAGGCAGAACACGTTTTCCCTGACAATGGAACAGATATAAAAACTGAGGGGCCGACTACATCCAGACAAAAATGTTCGCTGAAAATGCTTCATGTTTTATGCCGCTTCTGGAAATATTCCAGCAATATCACGACAGGGGACACCAGCAATGGGCTCACATTGTACCCATGTGGGGAATCGAACCTGAATCTTAGGCGTGTCGACCGAGCGCTTTAACCACTAGGCTACCCTTACGTCCCGCTTCATGTCCAAACAAAATGAGTTTTGTAAAATATATCGCTCGACTTCCCCTTTCAAGTGAATCGGTGACTGAATCAATATCCTGTCTCTAGTATTAGTAACATAGGGCTTCATTCGTGACCAACTCGTGTTATTCCGGGACAAGCCGAACAGCGACTCGTGCCCCTCTCGTGGCCATTGTTGCGACCGGGTTCCGTCTTAGCGCAAACTGGCATACCTAAAACAATTGTGAACTCGTTGCGTAATGGTTCACATGCATGTATTTCCCAATATATTTATTTATATATATTTCAGATGCAATTTAAATCACATCGGGACATGCGGAATTCTACAGTGTGATTGAACACATTTAAGTGTATCTAAGGTATATTTTTAGATGCAAGACATATGTAAAATCGAACATTATTTCTAAGGGATTCTTTGACGAAGAACTTGAAATCATACGCGCATTCTGATTGGTTTTTGGTATTTTCGCACATAACATTCATCGACAGGGGGACGAGTCTTCTTGCGGGTTACGGAAAGGGGCGAGTGGTGAATGATAGGGCATTGCACGAGGAGTGAGCAGATAATCTCATAAAGTAGTCACAATCCATTGTTCCAGGTGTGTGAGTGAGTTAAGTTTTAAGTCACATCGGCAATATTTCAGCCATATCGTGATTATCAAAGGTTAAAGATTATAAATACTTTGAAACGTATTTAGAACCTGCCAACGACAGGCAGTAAAATAACTAGACTTATAACAGATAAATATAACTACTATTGTATCATAAAATGGATATTACGATACAAAACAATACATTATAAAAACAGGCTATTGATCTCCAACAACTGAAGGTAGATCACCTTACTGGGGACCATGGGGACTTACAGTTCCTTTGCTTCCTGCATGGACCCCAGCCGGATTTACATCATCCCTTCAGGTGTTGGCGATTATTAACACATTGTTCCCGGTGAAACGTAACCAAACGAAATGAACGTTAGGGAATGATGGAACGTTTCCTTAATTCATATCGACAACCCCTCAAAACAATGGACTAAACACCTGCGTTTTACTCAATATCGTCGCTAACACCGAAGAGATCGCGTTTCAGCGCCATTGGATTTCTCTAAGTGAACCCATTTTCTTGTCCAAGCGATCAAAGAGTGGGTGAGTGAGTATGGTTTTACGCCGCTTTTAGCAATATTCCAGCAATATCGCGGCGGGGGACAGCAGAAATGGGCTTCACACATTGTACCCATGTCGGGAATCGAACCCGGGTCTTCGGCGTGACGAGCGAACGCTTTAACCACTAGGCTACCCCCTCTGAATTACGGAAACATCCATAGTAGCCTTAAACAAAGTCTATTGTTGTACATATCCAGTTCCTGTTTTTACACCAATGTACTTTCCTCTTGTATACGATAGGTATTGAAAAGGCATAGAAAAGAACTTTATATGGAAACGTGAAGCGATCACCCCTGCAGACAAAAAGCGAGCTACGAAAGATTCAGTTCTACACCGCACGTCACTATTTTGATGTCAAGTAACATTTATGTAGGACATAGTAGTAAAGGACATATGTTTCCCCCTGTTTCTGATCGCAGGATGAATGAACACTATAAACGACGCAGTATTTTATACACATTCTGCAGACGCCAGTGATAACAATATATGCATTCACTACATTTCTCGGACGTATAACTCGGACAAATGTAACCAAACGAAATGTATTCGCGAAACGTCCAGGTATTACGCATGCTGGCGTGTTTCTATGACGAATGGAATCCGTGTAACGTAATAGAATGATATGTTATTGCTGTATTACTGTTTGCGAGACGATACATAGTAGTACGGTGGCCCATAAGGGACATGGAGTCTGTTTTTCAATATTTTAATATTTCACTTACTGTTATCGTACCCTTTTGCAAATTAACACGAATTGTCATACAAACATGTGATAAAGCACGTATAAGGAAGATATTGAATCCCTGAAAAGTGAAACGAAAATCTCAAAAACTAAAATGAAAATGTCCAAAAAAAGAAAGAAAAATGGTCAAAAACTAAAATGAAAATGTCAAAAACAAAAACGAAAATGTCAAAGACAAAAGCGAAAATGTCAAAAACTAAAATGAACATGTCAAAAACAAAAACGAAAATGTCAAAAACAAAAGCGAAAATGTCAAAAACTAAAATAAAAATACAGAAAACTATCTCCACAGCGGTGGGAGTATTATCACCGATCTGTTCGCACGACGTGACTAAATGCATTTGGGGGTCGAGCTTGGCTCATTGCGTTTAATCGTCCCAGAAGAAAAGGGTCATGCATCATCCAATCTATATATTCATACATCCCGCACTTCCAATTATCTTTTGGAAATATAAATATGTGACAATGAGCAGTGGATGGTTTTCCAGGTGGTCTGAGTTAGGGCTGGGAGTCCTAATTTACTACCCGGGGACCCACACCCCTACTACCCGGGTACCCACATCCCTATTACCCGACCCTACCCGGGTACCCGCTGTTGGTGTCAAGAGATAGATAGTGTCCGATTGGGAATAGTTTGACAGTAGCCCTGGCAGAATGTTTTTAGATTCACGTATAAAACGCTGTGGCCATGCATACACTGAAGTTGACTGAAGATTTAGTTTTGTTTAAACATCTTTAAGTCAGAAGGAACGTGTTCATAGTCATGAAGAAATGCGAACATTGGAGACTGAAAATTGTCGTGTAACCATGTAGATAATAATGATAGTGAATTTTTGTCATGAAACAATATATCACGTGACTAACCACGGGTCCAGGTAGTCCTATGGGTACCCGGGTCCTACTCAGTACCCACCCGACCCGGGTACCCGAGTTACCCGTCCCAGCCCTTGTTCGAGTCATAATGCAAAGAGTGAGTGAGTGTATCAATACGGTTTTATGCCGCTTTTAGCAATATCCAGCAATATCACGGCGGGGGCGAGCTTAACAAATTGTATCCATGTGGAGAATCGAACCCGGGCCTTCGGCGTGACGAGCGAACGCTTTAACCACTAGACTACCCCACCACCCCAAGAAGCAGGTGAAGCACCGAACAGGTAGACAAAAAATGTCAAGTATCAGTAACCAGACATTTTATTTCGGCCTCTGTATCTCAGTATCACGATGCTAATTTGAAATGTGTTCCGTTTGAAAAACGATACAGAATACACTTGAAAAAGCCCAGCTATTGAAACTGTATAGTAAGCAGCGATTGATTATGTTACAAGGTGTACAGAAATGTTTTCACTGTTACCTTGTGGGACGGTTTGCTTCGGAAGGCAGCATACATTGGTCCCACCACATCCGGCCATTGGAAACCTGGACTGGCCCTCACATTGGACGTTTGACCAGAGTGGACCTTTGCAGGTGCCTCCCAAACTTTGACATGTGGTCTCGGCAAATGCTACAACGACAGTGACAGGTATACTACCCGTCGGCTAAAGCTGAGCATGGCTAAATTATACACTTCATATTTGAACTGTTGACATGAATAGGTTTTTGCACTTTGTTGGGGGTTAATCGTATGAGAAAATGAAAGAGAGAGAATTAGAGATTAATGAGAGTGAGTGAGTGAGTGAGTTGGGTTTAACGCCGCTTTTAACAGTATTCCAGTTATATCGCGGCGTGTCAGCTTAATGTTGGAGGAAAGCCCGAAGTGATGCAGGTCTCAGACGTTTACCACTTCGGTGAAACCCACGAGCACGGGTATGGTGCTGACAAACCTAGAAACATAATCGGGGCGAACCGGGATTCGAACCCACAATCATAGGTTTCTGGCGTGCCCAAGGGACGCAACTCTGCACAGCGAATCGCGGCGCCTTTGACGACTGGGCCAACCGTGCCCCCAGATTAATGAGAGAGAACATGAGAGTTGAAGTGTGAGAGAGAGGAAATGAGAGTAAATATTGTTTCATGTCCTTGGCAATATTCAGCTTTCAGGAAATATGCGTACGCTAGCGTTTGCTTGCGCTTGTGTGTGTATCTTGGGGAAATTTTGATCCCAACTGCAAATCATCCGTTGATCCTGCCACTATCTATAACCCTTCAGTATTTAGAACACACATATGCAAGAACACATCGATCATGTTCACATTTTGAACGACCCATGAAGATCCGGGGCAGAATAGGTCTTCAGCAACCCATGCTTGCCGTAAAAGGCGACTATGCTTGTCGTAAAAGGCGACTAACGGGATCGGTTGGTCAGGCTCGCTGACTTGGTTCATACATGTCATCGATCCCAATTGCGTGGATCGATGCTCATGATGTCAATTACTAGATTGTCTGGTCCAGACTCGATTATTTACAGACCGCCGTCATATAGCTGGAATATTGCTGAGTGCGGCGTTAAACAACAAACAAACAAACATTTTGAACAAACGTGGACATAGTTTCCTTTCAATAAAATTCAACGTGTGTGTGTGTGTGTGTGTGTGTGTGTGTGTGTGTGTGTGTGTGTGTGTGTGTGTGTATTTGAACATAAGCATTTCAGGATTTCATATTATAAATACCTTGACTACACCAGATCTACAGACAAAGAGCAACACGATGACAATAAGATCTTGCCCAAACTGTCCAACACAGTGTGAAGAAGTCAGCGATACGGGCACGTTATTAACACTATCAAAACTAAGTTGGGAGAACAATTCGTTTGTTTGTTTGTTTGTTGTTAAACGCAACAATTAGCAATATTCCAGCTACAAGACGGCGGTCTGTAAATAATCGAGTCTGAACCATACAATCCAGTGATTGATGTCATGAGCATCGATCCAAGCAATTGGGATATGATAACATGCATCAACTAAGTCAGCGAGTCTGACCATCCCAATTCGTTAGTTGCCTCTTAAGACAAGCATACTCGCCTTTTACGGCAAGCATGGATTGCCGAAGACCTATTCTATCCCGGATCTTCACGGGTCGTTGGGAGTACAACAAAATACATAGATGCATGCTTACTTACACGACTCCAAAGTCACCACCACAGAGAAGATAAAAAGGACGACGGGGATGCAAGCCATGTTCCTGCTGTGACGAAGCTCGTTAAAGATATGCCGTTCACTAGTGACACCGGCATGCATTTATAACAAGCCTGATACGTCATGCTCGGACAAGCGATACAGAGGTCAACGCACGCTACACTCACATGATACCAAAGTCACGAGCACCTTGGCGCTCTGAATTTGTTTTGTAGATAAGCTGTTCTGAAGTACTATCAAACAGCCTACATTCCCGAGAGTAAATACAGGTGGTGGGGTATGCTAATATGTGTGTCATCGTGGGAGAGATAGCAGTCATACGTTCACATCATTTTTTTACCAACTGGTGCCATTCCGGGACAAGGCCAATGGAAACTCGTGCACCTCTCGAAGGTTTCCAAATTGGCATATGAACACGAGAACCGATTCAAACAAGAACGACAACTTTTATTCTACTCAATTTTGTACAAATTTCTATTTGGCAAGCAATTCAAAAATTTATTCTCAGCTGTTCATCTTCTATTTGCAAATTGTTAATTCTTACAAAAAGGAAATAAAATCAGATGAAGAAACTATACTCAACAACAAAAGTTCCGTGACACCAATATTTTAGTGTATTTTTCAAACAAGTAAAGTTTGGTTTTTAAAATGTTGTAGTACATGTATGGAATCAAGTCACAAAAACGCAACTGCTACAGAAAAGCATGCATTCCATGCAAAAGTTGACTTTTATGCAAGCCCCATGCATTTCACTCTCCAAGAATGGATATAAAAACATGTGCATTAACGGAATTCCATATGCATTGATTAGCATCACCGCTCAGAAAAACAACAAAATTACGCAATTATTCAACATTACGAAATGCCACGCCTGTCCGAGAATGAGCGTCTGCGAGCCATTGGTATGCTTGAAGCAGGATCGAGTCAACGTGATGGCCTTCGACGAATATCTTCACAAACCATACGTCGTCGACTCAGATGTGCAGGGATTGTCGCAAGAGGACCCGCCAGACGTCCCATTTTGACAGGAAACCACCGTCAAGCATGTCTACAGTGGTGCAGACAGCGTCTACGCTGGACGGCGATACAGTGGGTACAAGTTCTATTCACTGACGAGTCTCGTTTTCACCTCAGCCACAGCGATGGACGGATTCGAGTGTACCGACGTCGAGGTGAACGTCAATCATTGTGTCATTGAAGAAGATCAGTTCGGGGGCGGCAGCGTTATGGTATGGGTGGTGTTACAGCAAGACAGAGGACCCGTTTGATAGTGGTAGAGAGAAATCTCAATGGACAGTGCTACCGCGACGAGATCTTCGGCCCTGTTGTTCTACCGTTTTTGCGTCGTCATGGCCCAGGCATTACCTTTCAACATGACCTCTCACCAATCGAGCACATGTGGGATGAGATGGTTCGGCGCCTTCGACGTCAACCACGTGTTCCACAGACACTCCAGAAACTTCGAAACATGCTCCAGCAGATATGGACAGATATCCCACAGGATTTTGTGCCACGCCTGGTCCATTGCATTAGACGAAGATGTGTTGCTTGCATCGCAACCAGAGGTGGACACACACGCTATTAATTTGTAAATTGACATTTTGGCATGTTCATGTGGTTTGTTTTTTAATGAAATCACGCATTTTCTGAAGTCAGTATGGCAAATTAAACCATTTGAACACTTCATGAGTCTTTTGTCTGTTGCAAACCGAAATTGTTTCAGATTTGGATAAAAATATTACTTTGCATTAAATCTTATTCAATGTCACAGGAACTTTTGTTGTTCAGTATATTTAATTTCATGACTGAGTTTGTCCTTTTATGGCCAAATAGTGAGACCATTTTAAAATTTACACCCAATTTGGTGATTGCCAAGTATTTGTTTGTATATTTATTGTTTAACGCCGCACTCAGCAATATTCCAGCTATATGACGGCGGTCTGTAAATAATCGAGTCTGGACCAGACAATCCAGTGACTGGTATCATGAGCATCGATCCACGCAATTGGGATACGATCACATGCATCAACCAAGTCAGCGAGCCTGACCACCCGATCCAGTTCGTTGCCTCCTACGACAAGCATAGTCGGTTTCTACAGTAAGCATGGGCTGCTGAACAGCTAGTCTACCCCGGATCTTCACGGGTCTGTTTACCTGTAGATGACCTTGAAATGCCCACCTCGTGTTGAATAAACGTATGTACTGTTTATCGTCATACTCCACCTGTTGAGTTCAAGGTGAAATCCTTTTTTTGGTTATCTGTGCTAATGATAAGCTCTAAAATCACTAAATGCATCGGTCGTTAACTAAGCTACTTGAGACACTAAGTTGTCGAGAGTGGGCCGACGTCACTCATTCGCCTCCCGCCTCAATCTTTTAAAATCTAAGTCATCATGTCAACAAACACCAGGAAAACCAACCAACACGAAGCCCCAACCACTACCAAACAACTAATCCCTTCCACTATTGATCATTACATGGAGTGAGTGAATATGGTTTTACGCCCTTTTAGCAATATTCCAGCAATATGACAAACATGACAAACTTAAGGAAAGACTTTCATTCGTTGATCCATGGGCTTTTGTTACAAAACGTGGTGACCATATATAGTGTTACATATCTGTCTTCAGAGGTTCAAGTCAATTTGTCGAAAATGAAAGCAAATGCCATCTGAAGTTTACTGAGAAAACGGACCGCCTCCGTGATCTAGTGGTAGAGCGTCCGCCCGGAGAGCGGAAGGTCCGGGGTTCGATTCCCGGCCGCGTCATACCAAAAGATTGTACTTGTTGTTACCCTGTCTGGCGCTCGGCATTAAGGGGCTTAAACAAGGACTGGTCGGCTCGGAGTAAGTACACTGTGGCTGGGTGGGGTATTCATGTTCAACTGCGGCATGGTATCTCAGTGGGCTAGCACTATAAATCGGCCATGTTTTTAAAATGGATTTCAGTGGGATGTGGTCATGTTCACAAGGTACATCTTTCTTTAAAATTAGTTTTATTTGGATGTAAACTAGATGTTGTGACTGTATTGGGTTTTCTTTTCTTATTGGGTAAATGTTATATCTGCAAATGTATATGAAAGAAAGACCATCCCCACATAATCAGTTATAGAGAGGACCCGTGAAGATCCGGGTTAGAATAGGTCTTCAGCAACCCATGCCGTTAAAGGCAACTATGCTTGTCGTAAGAGGCGACTAACGGGATCGGGTGGTCAGGCTCGCTGACTTGGTTGATGCATGTCATCGATCCCAAATGCGTGGATCGATGCTCACGATGTCAATCACTAGATTGTCCGGTCCAGACTCGATTATTTTACAGACCGCCGTCATATAGCTAGAATATTGTCAAGTAAAAACCGTGTATCAGAGCTGTCTGTCAAGTGGCCGTGTATCATTCGTTGTTTGATAATTAACACTAATAATAAATAATTTTGATTTTAAGTTTCACAGAACTAACTGTATACAAACATACAAAGCATGAGTGTGTGAGTGATTTCTTGTCTTTGTTACGCAGAAAACAAAACAAACTATATTTCGGTTTATTATTTTGTAGATGTGACTGCTGTAGGGGCCTCTCTGTACAAGGTGTGTTTGGAATTGATTTTTGAATTAAAAAACGAAACATTTCCACCTCTTCCCACACTAATGAACGAGCTGTCTGGAAAGTATTATGCAAATGATGATGACGTCACTTCTGCTGTAGCAGACTGTTTACACTACCACGAGGAAGCCTTCTACACCGGCGGCATGGCACTCCAGTATCGCTGGCAGAAGTGTGTGGACCTCGGAGGAGATCATGCAGAAAAATAACTGACAGCCCACTCCACCAACGCAGTACATCATAGGTAAGTTCAGAGCTGTTCAGCCTACGCCGACGATGAAGCAAGTTGCAGAACGGGCCTCCGCAATGGGAACATTGCCCCTTGGTTCCAGTGTCCGTTCTGTCACGTGCCCACTAACTTGTTCCCCTCGGCCTGAAGCCTCCCCCTTGGGTTTCGTCTTTCATCTTCCTTTTGAGATTCATCTCCTGTTACTGGGAATCCGGGTTAGAATAGGTCTCTAGCAACCCATATGTGAAATGGACTAAATGGATCGGGTGGTGACTCATATTCCCGAGGCAAGAGAGTTAACAGACTAGGCTGGAATTACTTGGCTCGATCGTAGCGCCACCAGTGGCTATAACCAGTTGTGTCCCTTCTAAGCCTCTCCTATGGACCAATCAGATTCCACCTCTCGTATCACTTGCATTCGCTTCAAACAAAATGGCGTCGCCAAGTTAGGACGATCTGCTCGTGATCAAGATTTATATTGTGATAAAACGGGTCTTACATCGCGAAATGCATCAAATCAAGTGAGCACCTTGATTAAAAAGATGAAAAGATTTAACATATCTGTTGACAACGAATTGGCGGTGCACATACTTTGCAAATCCTGCAATCGACCGAAATCTGCACGACAGTTTACGAACCGGATTTCGATTTCGTTGCGCGATTTTGAATGGACTATGCATAGACTCGTTAGTCCAGCCAAAATATAACTCCATAGTATCAGCCTAGTTCGGCAAGGGTAAAACTGGACTTTTATAGTCAGTTAACTCCCTTGCCTCGGGAAGATGGGCTCAAATATGTACAGACCACTGTCATGTAGTCGGAATATTGCTGAGTGCGACGTTAAACAACAAGCATAAAACAATATCTGGCAACTGTCTTAACACGGAGCCCCGATTGCGCAGGTCGATGCTCAGATTGGTTTGTCTGGTCCAAACACGTAGTTGCGACAAAACGTTCTCACTTCATAACACAGACGTCAATTGGCGTTCATGCAGTGTTCCATCAGTAATCAACATTTTGTAAATCTGCATCTTTTAACTGTTAGGTAGTAACAGAAAGGGGTGGCCTAACGGTTAAAGTAAATTAGCTCGTCACACTGTAGGCCCGGGTTCGATTTCCCACATGTGTTCAATGTTTGAAAGCCCATTTATGTGTGGCCGTCGTGATATTGCAGGAATAATGCTAAAAGCGTCGCTAAACCTTACTCCCTCATTCAACAATTACTGATAGAAGCAGAAATGACTGAGGGTTTGAAAACAGGACATTTTCAAAATGGCTGCCATGGTGACAATTGGCTCGGTGGTCAAGGACGACGCTAATCGCGGTTCGAATCCGCTTGTATTGGTGGTTTTATCTCCTTTGTATGCTGAAACGCCGTTATATAACTGAAATACTGGCGTGTACAAATCCACACTCTTCTAAACTAATTGAAAAAAAACACTTGTAGTGAATTCGGACGCTCTGCTGGGTTCATTACAAGATAACTTACTAGAAACTTTAATATCACTCAACACTTGACATCAACAACCGGCACGCACTGACGTCCATGCTCTACTTTAATGCTACACGCAGAACTTAAATCCCCTGCGCAGTGAGCCGAAACACACCGGGCCAGCGCCCCCAACGTCACTTCCGGCGTCCCCTTAGCTCCGAGACAATGCCGGAACACCCCCGTACGGTCGGTAAAATCGACACATGCCTCTGCTGCAAGAACAACAGCCCTGTCTGTTTTACATCTCAGGGTCGATCTTGAAATGTTGCTGCATAACCTGTTATAACAAAATACGAAAACACTCAAAACCCTTTCAATAATCATAAGAGTGAGTGAGTGAGCTTTTAACATTAACTAACATTCCAGTTATATCGCGGCGTGTCAGCTTAATGTGGGAGGAAAGCCCGATGTGATGCAGGTCTTAGACGTTTACCACTTCGGTGAAACCCACGAGCACGGGTATGGTGCTGACAAACCTAGAAACATAATCGGGGCGAACCGGGATTCGAACCCACAATCATAGGTTTCTGGCGTGCCCAAGGGACGCAACTCTGCACAGCGAATCGCGGCGCCTTAGACGACTGGGCCACCCGTGCCCCCCAATAATAATCATAAGAAATCTCTGCTTAAAACAGTGTCCGTTTTAAGATTGCTACTGTACATGTGCCATAAGCATGTGTGTGATCACTATCAAATCATCATGATACATTATGTTCACGAAACGATGAGCGTATCCTGTTCCACTGGTTGAACTCTTCACAAACACATGCAAAGGCAAGTCAATTGTTTATCCGAAAAAGAAACAACGGGACCATATCATCAATACGGACAACGCTTCGAAAAATGCTAATTTTCATTAAGGTCGTTGTTTACGTACCTGTTTTTGTGGATGAGTCTGAAAAAATATCTGCTACATTGTTAGCTTGAATTTTTGGTAAAAGATGTGTAATTTATTGATTTTGTGAAAAGCTGTCACATTTAAATGTTTGTAGTCGTTTAACACCTCACTCAACAATAATCCAACTATATTCATTATATATTATATGCTTGCGACCTGTTTCGTTGTTTAACCACCAAGTTTCATGTCCACTGAAACAGAATTATTTCTCAGTTTTGTGTTTTTCTTCTTTTCAATAAACCCAAATAAACAACTTATGTAAAGGTGGTCTGTGTGTGTCAACAATGAATGGAAGCATTAACCGAATGCGAAAAGATCGCGTTTCCTTCCATACAGATATATTGTGTAAATCATTCGTAAAATCCCACAATCCCGTATGTATGCCTGTCACGTTCTTGAGTGTCGCCATGTGGTCCCCGGGGCCAAACACACGTAATTATATAATAGAACCCCGGAGAACGTTCGGATCTCTTAGTTTAGAGTTGAACGTTGATGAGTATAGGCTGCTACAGCTGAAAGGTTATAAGTATGTGTTGCTTAAGCTGAAAGTTGATGTGTTTAGGCTGCTACAGCTGAAAGTTGGTAAGTATATGCTGCTTGAGCTCAAAGTTGATGTGTTTAGGCTGCTAGAGCTGAAAGTTGATGTGTTTAGGCTGCTAGAGCTGAAAGTTGATGTGTTTAGGCTGCCTGAGCTGAAAGTTGATGTGTTTAGGCTGCCTGAGCTGAAAGTTGATGTGTTTAGGCTGCTAGAGCTGAAAGTTGATGTGTTTAGGCTGCTAGAGCTGAAAGTTGGTGTGTTTAGGCTGCTAGAGCTGAAAGTTTGTAAGTATATGCTGCTTGAGCTGAAAGTTGATGTGTTTAAGCTGCTAGAGCTGAAAGTTGATGTGTTTAGGCTGCTTGAGCTGAAAGTTGATGTGTTTAGGCTGCTAGAGCTGAAAGTTGGTAAGTATATGCTGCTTGAGCTCAAAGTTGATGTGTTTAGGCTGCTTGAGCTGAAAGTTGATGTGTTTAAGCTGCTAGAGCTGAAAGTTGATGTGTTTAGGCTGCTTGAGCTGAAAGTTGATGTGTTTAGGCTGCTACAGCTGAAAATTGGTGTGTTTAGGCTGCTTGAGCTGAACGTTGATGTGTTTAGGCTGCTAGAGCTGAAAGTTGGTAAGTATATGCTGCTTGACCTGAAAGTTGATGTGTTTAGGCTGCTTGAGCTGAAAGTTGATGTGTTTAGGCTGCTAGAGCTGAAAGTTGATGTGTTTAGGCTGCTACAGCTGAAAGTTGATGTGTTTAGGCTGCTTGAGCTGAAAGTTGATGTGTTTAGGCTGCTAGAGCTGAAAGTTGGTAAGTATATGCTGCTTGAGCTCAAAGTTGATGTGTTTAGGCTGCTTGAGCTGAAAGTTGATGTGTTTAGGCTGCTACAGCTGAAAGTTGGTAAGTATATGCTGCTTGAGCTCAAAGTTGATGTGTTTAGGCTGCTAGAGCTGAAAGTTGATGTGTTTAGGCTGCTACAGCTGAAAGTTGATGTGTTTAGGCTGCTTGAGCTGAAAGTTGATGTGTTTAGGCTGCTAGAGCTGAAAGTTGGTAAGTATATGCTGCTTGAGCTCAAAGTTGATGTGTTTAGGCTGCTTGAGCTGAAAGTTGATGTGTTTAGGCTGCTTGAGCTGAAAGTTGATGTGTTTAGGCTGCTGAGGCTGAAAGTTGATGTGTTTAGGCTGCTACAGCTGAAAGTTGATGTGTTTAGGCTGCTGAGGCTGAAAGTTGATGTGTTTAGGCTGCTACAGCTGAAAGTTGATGTGTTTAGGCTGCTTGAGCTGAACGTTGATGTGTTTAGGCTGCTAGAGCTGAAAGTTGGTAAGTATATGCTGCTTGAGCTGAAAGTTGATGTGTTTAGGCTGCTACAGCTGAAAGTTGATGTGTTTAGGCTGCTACAGCTGAAAATTGGTGTGTTTAGGCTGCTTGAGCTGAAAGTTGATGTGTTTAGGCTGCTAGAGCTGAAAGTTGATGTGTTTAGGCTGCTAGAGCTGAAAGTTGGTAAGTATATGCTGCTTGAGCTGAAAGTTGATGTGCTTAGGCTGCTTCAGGTGAAAGTTGATGTGTTTAGGCTGCTACAGCTGAAAGTTGGTAAGTATATGCTGCTTGAGCTGAAAGTTAAGGAGTATAGGCTGCTAGGGTGAGTGAGTGAGTCGGGTTTAACGCCCCTTTTAACAGTATTCCAGTCATATCACGGCGTGTCAGCTTCATGTGGGAGGAAAGCCTGAAGTGATGCAGGTCTCAGACGTTTACCACTTCGGTGAAACCCACGAGCACGGGGGAGGTGCTGACAAACCTAGAAACATTATCGGGGCGAACCGGGATTCGAACCCACAATCAAAGGTTTCTGGCGTGCCCAAGGGACGGGGCTGCTTGAGCTGAAAGTCGATGGATCGAGGCTGCTTGAGTGAGTGAGTGTAGCTTTACGCCGCTTTTAGCAATATTCCAGCAATATCACGGCGGGGGACACCAGAAATGGGCTTCACACATTGTTCCCATGTCGGGAATCGAACCCGGGTTCGAGTTTAAAGTCGATGGATATAGGCTGCTTGAGCTGAAAGTCGACGGATATAGGCTCACATTGACCTCAGCAGTCCAGTTAGCTATAATTGTTATGCCCCGAAACGACCTTAAGGGGGAGACATGTCTCCTTATTTATCTACATCTGTCATTAAGGGCTCCACGCATGCGCACTTATTACCATTTCGGCTTCCACCTGTTGCCTAAAAGCGTTGACCTTGCCGCGCGAACCAACAGTGAAACCAGTTTATAAAGATTCAAACTTACGAATTGTCGCTGTCAACCGTCGTCACAAGCTCATTGGTCAGATCTAAAGCCCGTTTCTGTCGAACACTGAAGTTGGAAGTCCCGAATACCTTCTTCCCCAACTCCACGAGCGCCGACCCGCTACCCCCACACGTACCGCACGTGCTGTGCCCATAACTCGTTTGACTCCGGGGTGCGGCTAGCGTGATGACCCCCTGCCAGTGGAAGGCGACCTGGGTGTGGCACTGGGGGGAGGAGACGGTATAATACCACCGTCTGTCCTGGGAGAGATGCACTGAGAGGTTGGAATCACCAAGCGTCGCTGGCAAGGCGGTAGGTGAGTCCTAAAATTCAACATAGTCACACATATACAGTAAACCTCGGTTATAACGAACATGCTTATCACGAACTGACGGATATAACGAACTTACTTTTTTGGTCCCAACTATTTGCTGTAGTTATGATGTATATATGCTTATAACGAACTACGGTTATCACGAACTAAAATTAGTAGTCCCTTTGAGTTCGTTATAACCGTAGTTTACTGTATATATATGTGTTGAAGTCAACACAAGCATTCATCATTAATCATGACACATTTGAAGCAGTTTTTTTAGTCGAACGAAGCATGATTTGTGGCATGATAGATTCCTTTCATATATATATTTTTTATTTCTTCTTGTTATATTTTAATCATGTCATGTCATCAATAACATGCGTCAAATTCACACACGGCTGTATATCTGATGACTGATGTGGGCACATATGTTTTAAATTCAACGAGATATGTTAGTTCGCTGGAAGTTTTGTTCGAAAAAGATTATTTTCTCAATCAGCCCTTTAAAACGTAACCAAATTATTATTTTTGTACCCACAGCACATAATCTTGCAGAACATCAACATGACAAATGAAGGCCTTTTTGGGGAAAAATCAGATGACAAGGTTTTTTCCAGCATTTTTGGGAATATATTATATTTCAAAGCAATCCCAGTTTTAACGCCGATTTGAAACCGAAGCGCTTTGTCACGGCGTGTCAGCATAGCCGTCTAAAGTGCCACAATTTGTTGTCCAGAATTGGTCCCTTAAGCGTCCAAGAAACCAATAATCATGAGATCGAATCCCAGATTATGATTCTAAGTTTGTATGCACCATACTGCTCGTGGGTTTCACCGAAGTAGTAAACGTCTGAGACCTGCATCACTTCGGGCTTTCCTCCCACATTAAGCTGACACGCCGGGGTAACAGAAACTCACTCACTCAATAAAACATACCGAGTCCACAAATATTCCATCCCCGGAAATACGGCCGCTGAATGACGTTGTTCCCCTCTGAATAAACCAGAACACCTCCGACTCGTACACTGCCGACACACCCGTACCCCTCCGTACGCTCGTACCGTACACAACCACAGGGCCACACGTATCCGTACTGTACTGTGCCAGCACGTGTGTACAGGGAAACACGGCATTCAGCTGGTCGCCCTCGAACGTACGGATATGCGGGTCCCCGTAGCTCACGCACGCACATGACGTAGCTGAAAATGTGAATGAGTGAGTGAATTAGGTTTGGCGCCGCTGGCACTATTTGAATATATCAGTTTTTGAGGAAAGCCCTTAATCTTTGGTCAAAGGCCTGCTTATGGTTAAATATGATGAAAAATCTCCCTAAAACCTCTAAAATCAGCCTTTTCGGCACGCGTTACCCTTACATGATGTAGTGTTTTAATAGCCACGTGTTGAAATGAACAAACTGTATTGATAATTCGTATGAATAATCATGTAACTATCATGACGATTTCTAAATGTTTAGTTCATTTTCCAACACTTGCTCATGTAAACAGACCCGTTTGGCTCCAAATGAGAACGATGGATCGCAAAATCAAAATCAAAATCGGGAATAGTCTATTAAATGTCAATATGGTATACGGCAATGAATACCCTGTACCCATCAATATCTGAGGTTTGTTATTTTTATTCCCATCACTGGAAAAAGTTGTTAAGAAACTATTATATTGTTATGTGTACAAGCATTCGTCACCACTCGTCCCTTTCCGTAACCTGCAAGAAGACTCGTCCCCCTATCGATGAAGTTATGTGCGAAAATGCGACAAACCAAATCATTATGCGTGTATGATTTCAAGTTCTTCGTCAAAGAATCCCTCAGAAATAATTTGCATCTAAAAATATACTTAAGACACAGTTACATGTGTTCAATCATACTGTATAATTCCGCACGTCCCAATGTGCTTTAAATTGCATCTGAAATATATGTAATGCATGGGGAAATAATATGAGCACCATTACGCAACGAGTTGACAATTGTTTTAGGTATGCCCGTTTGCGCTTAGACGGAACCCGGTCGATGGCAAGAAAATGCTAAATATGAAATTTACAAATAAAATATTTTATTAATATTTAGTATGCCGAACCCAAATGTCCAACCAACGTGTAACACAAACGTTGTCCTTCTTGAGACGTTTCCTAAGGCTACTATTCATTTCGAGTTGATGATGATGCAGAGGCAACATTTCCTCCATCTCATTGACATTAATAACACGTGCAGTGTCAGTTTGGACACCAGTGTCCGAATACATTTCGTCGACTATTGTTATACTTCAAAGAAAACATTACCAATATTTATCTTTCATATGAAGGCCTTTGATGTCGACTCCTCGTCAGTGTGTCTATCATATTAAGAGGATATTGAAACCATCAGTACAGGTGCACTTTGCTGTTAATGGGCGTGTGAGTGGAATTTCCTGGACTAGTTGTTAGGGAAGTAGTGTCGGTAGTGGTGGAGAAAGTAGTATAGGTAATGGTGGTGATGACACGTGATCATGTCTGTACTGGCAGTAAGATTGAAAGGAAACGGTTTTCAATATGAGGAGGATTGACCTTTCGAACTCAAGAAATATGTCTTTGTCGGAGTGGAACTACACCTTGACTGGTGCACTGTGGAAGGTTTTCTCAAGGCAGGGTCCTTTTTTTCGTATTCTTACACAAAATCACAACTGAACTTTCATGAATAAAACCATGAATAAATATAGTTATAAAGGCTAACAATATTTAATTATCGCAATAATGTCTTGTATTGGTCTTCCGTGGTCTAGTGGTAGAGCGTCCGCCTGAGAGCGGAAGGAGCGCGGTTCGATCCCAGGCCGCGTCATATCAAATGACGTTAAAAGATGGCCCCGTGAAGATTCGGGGTAGAATAGGTCTTCAGTAACCCATGCTTGCCGTTAAAGGCGACTATGCTTGTCGTAAAAGGCGACTAACGGGATTGTCTGGTCCAGACTCGATTATTTACAGACCGCCGTCATATAGCTGGAATATTGCTGAGTGCGGCGTTAAACAACAAACCAACCAACCAACGTTAAAAGATGGTACTGGCTGGCGCTCGGTATAAAGTGGCTAAAACAAGGACTGGTCTCGGATTCAGCATACAGTGTCCAAGTGGGTTATTCATGTTAAACTGTGGCATGGTATCTCAGTGGCCTAACAATAAAATCGGCATTAGTCGGGACTAGTACAAACAGCCACGCAGACACGTGCGTGCGCGTCATTTTTTTATGAAATAATCTTGAACGCGACTTTAAACCCCATTTGACCTCATCTCACTTATTTTACAATGATCAGAATACATCTAACGGGAAATGATTCTTTCAAAATGAGAATCTTGTGAAAAAATAGTACTTGATCATTTTGAACGCTATGCTTCTGATGAGACGCGCAGTGAACAGGTTCTCACGACGCACTCTACTTGGCATGAGAGGAGAAGCAACAGAAATTAGCACAGAAAAATGAGTATATGTCGTGAGCGTCGCGACGTTTTTTTCCGGCAATCATTCAAGTTAATCAACCGTTGTACATAACTAATACATCTTACCTGACAGGCGACCTAGGTCTGACATAAACGCCATCGTCACTTGATTAATATTCATCTCACCATCTGATAATTATCTTTATCGGTATAAATTTCCAAGGTTAAGAGAAATTTATCGTAATCATCATTCTTCTGAGTGCGCGAGTTGTTTTACACCGCTTTTAGCAATATCACCGCGGGGCACACCTGAAATGGGCTTTTACGCATTGTACCCATGTGGGGAATCGAACCCGGGACTTCGGCGTAACGAGCAAACGCTTTCACCACAAGGCTACCCCACCGCTCTTAATCGTTTGAATATTAAAGTAGGTCACATGAATTAGAATGTATTCGAGTGTATGTAGTAAATAAGTAATGTTTTCGTCATATTACTTTTTCCAGCCATATTATGACAGTCCACATCAAACAAGGCATTCACACATTGCATCGATATAGGGAATCGAACCCGGGCCTTCGACGTAACGAGAGAACGCATTATACTCACTGGGCTAACCAAGCATCCCCCGTGCGTATGCGGTTATCCTGGTAGTAGTTGTAGTAGTTGTAGTAGTAGTTGGGTTGGTTGGTTTGTTGTTTAACGCCCCACTCAGCAATATTCCAGCTATATGACGGTGGTCTGTAAATAATCGAGTCTGGGCCAGACAATCCAGTGATTAATATCATGAGCATCGATCCACGCAATTGGGATCGATGACATGCATCAACCAAGTCAGCGAGCCTGACCACCCGATCCCGATAGTCGCCTCTTATGACAAGCATAGTCGCCTAGTAGTAGTTCACGCGACGTTCACGTTTCGCACTGCATATTTATTTATACCATCCGATCCCGAACAATCTACCAATTTTGAAAAGAACCCCAAGAACTAAAGAGTAACATCCATGTGAAAAGATTACATTTGTCGTTTTTTTCTAATTTCTTTTGTAGCATGCCATTTCTTATGTGGCCTCGAGTCAGCACCAGCTATTGGGGTGGCCTTATGGTCAAAGCGTCACACCGAAAGCCCGGGATCGATTCCCGACATGGGAACAATGTGTGAAGACCATTTCTGGTGTCCCCTGCCGTGATATTGCTGGAATATTACTAAAAGCGGCGTAAAACCATACTCACTCACTCATTCTGGTGAAAGCCATTGTGATTATGTTAAATGGGGCATAACCACTCAGTCAGTCACTCACTCACTAACTCACAGCAGTTACCCACCGTCAGGTTGGCACAGGTACTTTCCGTGTCCAACGTGTTCGTCGTCGCAGACACAGTGGTCGTCGTCACAGTGTGCGTTGTCAGCGCAGTCCTTGTTCGTGCTGCACGTGCCGACTGTAAACAGTGACATCGTGATATATACAATTGTGGTCAACAAACATGCGTGGTTACAAATGGAGAATTGTAAGTGTCTTGGCAAACCTGTGCCTGAAAACTTCATAAACGAACCATTCCCTCGGGACATCAAACTAACCAACCAGCCGAGTCATAGAACCCGACTACCAGATGACTAGTAGTCGACTGAAGTCAGTATACTGTGTCTGAGTGGGGTATTCATGTTAAACTGCGGCATGGTATCTCGGTGGGCTAGCACTATAAATCGGCATTAGTCCTGACTAGAACAAGCACACACGCACGCACGCACGCACGCACGCACGCACGCACGCACGCACGCACACACACACACACACACACACACACACACACACACGTGCATGCACATCGCTATATAAATGAATCAATCTTGAAGGCGACGTTACTCACCATTTCGCCTTACCCATGGCGACAGTAGCACGATCGTATGCTATGATTGATTTTTTTCTTGTTGTGGACAGTGCCTAAATTCGGGTGAACCACACGAATAGAAGGTTGGGTTAGTCGCCTTTTACGACAAGCATAGTCACCTTTTACGGCAAGCATGGGTTGCTGAAGACCTATTCTACCCCGGAATCTTCATGGGTCTGGAACCATGGAGTTTCGGGTAGGAAACTAGATTTCCAGCAACCAATGCTTGTAAGAGGAGACTAAATGTGTCAGCTGGTCAGGCTTGGTCATCATATCTTAATTGTGTGGATTTATTCTCATGATATCAATCACTGGATTGTCTGATCCAGCTTCGATAATTTGCACACCACCTTAATAGTAAGTGAGTGAGTATGGTTTTACGCCGCTTTTAGCACTATCCAAGCAATATCACAGCGGGGGAAACACGGGATGATTGGTGCCATTCAAACAAATATTTCATAACACATAAAAAACATAGCCTTACAAAGGTGTTTAAATTAAAAAATAAATGATTTTAAATTGAAAATAATTATACGAACTCCTTCATTTATGGGGGTCCCTCTTAACTTTAACAGTTGAACACCAGTACACTTTAAATCTTCAAAAAGGGAGTTTTGAGATTGGATTTGAGTCTAAAAGAAAACAAGAAAAATCGATCAAATGATCGCAGTTACTTTTGTCCACTGTTATGATTTTCGGTAATTGAAATATTAATTGAATTTATTAATGTTTCAGTGTTTCATATGCAATGTCAAAATGTCTGTAGAAACGACTTACCTAGACTTATCTGCACGAACAACACCACAACGACCGCACACAAACACTCTCTATTCATACCTGCCGCTAACTAGAAAATGATTTTCTGCAACGCACTTTATTTTTTCTCTATTTCAATAACTGCCGCCTGGGGTGAGACCCTATCACTCCAATCAATTGTCGGCAAGAACAAAGGCAACCCTGGGGCTCTCGTGAATAGATTAGCGGCAATCTTACATCACCTACAAATTATCTGCACTCGTATATTAGCCGTGAATTGTACCCTTGTACTATTTAAAACGAAATGTGTATTTATAGCATTCGACTTTTAATGACTGAAAGTATTTTATTTTAACTACATTCCTACATGTACTATATATATTTCACGTGATACGGACGTTGTTCCGAAATGATGGGAACACAATGGCCCAGCGGTTCCAGGCGCTCACCGTAGGTTCGAATCCCAGCTTCCCCCTCGATTGTGGTTGTTATTCTGACTAGTACAAGCAGACGCACGCACGCGCAAACGCACACACACGTGCATGCACGTCGCTACAAGTGCAGTGATTAAGCGGTGAGCGTGTGTGTTTGTATGGCTGCTTGTATTAGTCCGGACTGATGCCGATTTAAAGTGCTAGCTCACTGAGATACCATGCCGCAGTTTAACATGAATACCCCCCTCAGACACAGTATACTGACTCCGAGCCGACCAGTCCTTGTTTTATCCCCTTAACGCCGAGCGCCAGACAGGTTAACAACAAGTACCATCTTTTAACGTCTTTTGGTATGACGCGGCCGGGGATCGAACCCCGGACCTTCCGTTCCCCAGGCGGACGCTCTACCACTAGACCACGGAGGCGGTCTTTTGTCTTTTAGACAGCAGCGGACACTTAATCACTGACACTAAGCACAGTCGCCCGATGTTCATTTTTTAAGAACTAAGAATAACGTGCGTCATATATATCACGGGCTCTCGGTAGTTAATATGGGGGCACAGCCCTGAAGATGTATACCCATCCGGGGACCCAGCAGTAATAAACTATATTTAATAGTCCGTCCGCATGTAAGAGTGGGATGGTGAAGGCGATATAATCAGCCCTCAGTTTATTCTGCTCATCAATGCAGAGGAATAAGACATTAATATCCACCGCATATCTTGATGGGTTACGTCCCAGACAGAGAACAGTATTTATGTGTAAATAGCGTGTGACATGAATATTTCATGAATCACGTATTTTTTCTTGGGATTCTTGACAGTTGCCCACACATAGTGTTAATGATCACCGTTAGCGGCAATCAGTCGGATCGCCGGCTGGTGTTATTGCCCTTTTATCAAAGGGAGGCTACTCCAGCCCATGGGCATCTTAGCTGGTTTCCAAAGTCACTCGTCCCGTTGTCTCATCAGCTCAGCTTACCCCTGACTTTCGGTAACTTAAACTATCTTTAGACAATGATGACAATTATCTGAGATAAAAGGTAATGTATTGTATATAAATTTATTTCGTTTATTTTTTATTTACTTATTTGGTATGTGCTTGTGTATGGTATCATTATTTTGACCAATATTATATTGTAATATTCATATTCATTTGTAAGATATGGTGTTTCATTTTGTTCCTTTGCAAATCTATGTTGTTCCTCTTAAACATGGCATAACAAATTTAGCCGTTTTATTTGCCCGATTACCCTGCATTTCACCCCACATTATCAACATATATATGGATCCGGGGTAGAATAGGTCTTTAGCAGTCCATGCTTGCCGTAAAAGGCGACTATGCTTGTCGTAAGAGGCGGCTAACGGGATCGGGTGGTCAGGCTCGCTGAGTTGGTTGATGCATGTCATCGATCCGAATTGCATGGATCGATCGATGCTCATGATATTAATCACTGGATCGTCTGGTACAGACTCTATTAATCGTTAATCAACAAATATAATTGTTGTTGTTGGTTTGTTTGCACTTCGCGAGGTAAGACCCGCTTTATTACAATATAGTTCCGATGAGATCGTCTTGTGTTTGAAGCAAATGCAAGTGATATGAGAAGTGGAATCTGATTGGTCAATAGGTGGGACAAAGAAAGGACATAACTCGTAATAGCCTAGTTCGGCAAGGCTGGAAACAGGACTTTTATAGTATGTTAACTCACTTGCCTCGGGAAGATGACTTCAGTGAAGATTACCATGTGCGCGGATTGTACAAAAATATCTTATTTTTCTCTTTTTAGTTCGTAATGTAATAAAAACATTATTTCAAAAACTTTCAGCATACATATCTACTTTCAATTCATCAGGCATTATTTCTTAAAACTGCAACTGTCATAACTATGAATTGACGCTTGCGAACCGTATTTTTGAGTTCCGAAGATATAACTGTAGTTATAATATAATGAAAAGTCAAAATGTGATATTTGTTTTTCATCCACAAGGTCCCTTATCTCATGGTTGGTCACAAATGTAGACCAACTCACTCACTCACTCACTCACAAATGTAGACCAACCTACTCGCTACTCGGAATGACGGATTATATGTCCCTTGAGAAATAATGTTGAACTTAATTCACTCGGGACAGATAATCCGCCTCGCCGAGTTGTCAGAAGGTTATTCAATGTGTTGCTTGTCATTTTTTCAGAGACCCCCCCCCCCCCCCCCCCCCCCCAGAAAAATCGTGTATATGTACATGCATGTTCAACCATCCATCTGGATTCGTAGTTATAACAAATGTATCTCTCTCCTCGGACTGGAGCGGCCCAAAGCGGACTGATCCAACCTCTTGTGATTGTCACACTGACGACTACAACACGACAATCATTATAATAATGGTCAACACGTTGTAACTTACCGTATCAACTGATATCCTTGTGGTAAGCATCATTGGTAAGTAAGTCTTTCTTCAATTCAAATCCCTTCTCCTTGATCTGTTATAATTGTCTCGCAAAGCTGTTTTTGAGTAAAACGATGACGTCGAAGAACCGGGTTCGATTCCCCACATGGATACAATGTGTAAAACCCATTTCTGGTGTCCCCGCCATGATATTGCTGGAATATTACTAAAAGCGGGAAAAACCAAACTCACTCATTTACAATTGTGTAAAACGTAATTCTTGAAGTTAGTCCCTGGATCATTGCTTTTCTAACACCTTCACCAAATACCATGTAACCAAAACGGAAACTGCATCATCCATATTGTATTACCACTTACTCCAAAACTGCAATATATATTTTGGCCTCTGTCAGGATGGATCTATACAGGCGTAGTTGAGCCATGCTACCCTAGATATATACATTTGACTGGCATTCTAAATACGCATACAGCAAACATTAATATGTTGTCTTAGTTCAGAGTTTACTCTTTATGTCTTACGTTACAAAGGTTTCAGCCAAGCTTCAGATTCTGTCTGCGTTTGTTATGTTAATTTTCAAATTTTATTTCGGCCTCTCTGAATAATGGAAATCCCGGTTCGGCCTGATTATGTTTCTAGGTTTGTCAGCACCATACCCGTGCTCGTGGGTTTCACCGAAGTGGTAAACGTCGGGCTTTCCTCCCACATTAAGCTGACACGCCATGATATAACTGTAATACTGTTAAAGCGGCGTTAAACCCAACTCACTCACTCACTCACTGGATAATGGATATATATAGATGTGGTTGAGCCATGCTACGCTGGGTGTATTCTTTTCATAGATGTTTTCTTCATAGCAATTCTCCGAAGTGCGAGTACAAACAGGGATATATCAAACCATACGTCAACTGTACAGTGAGTGAGTGAGTATGGTTTTACGCCGCTGTCAGCAATATTCCAGCAATATCACAGCGGGGGACACCAGAAATGGGCTTCACACATTATACCCATTTCGGGATTCGAACCCGGGTCTTCGGCGTGACGAGCGAACGCTTTAACCACTAGGCTTCCCGACCGCCCCTCAACTGTACAGACAAGTCAGAGTTTCAATCGAAACGTGCCACAGATCTGCGTCACAATTTGCCGTTGTTATTGCAGATTCCAGTGATATCAATGACCAACAATGCATTGTGTTCATGCATTCAGTATTCAGTACGTATATACATTTTACCTTAAGGTGACAGCCTAGCACAGTGGTTAAAGTGTTGGCGGAGTTGGATGTGATACCTCACATGGCCACAATGTCTGCTGATCTGATATTCAGGGGTGGTCGGGTAGCCTAGTGGTTAAAGCGTTCGCGACATTGGCACAATGTATGAAGCCCATTTCTGGTGTCCCCCACTGTGATATTGCTGAAATATTGCTAAAAGCGGCGTTAAACCTCACTCACTCACTCACTCACTCACTCACTCACTCACTCACTCACTCACTCACTCACTCACTCACTCACTCACTCACTCACTCACTCACTCACTCACTCACTCACTCACTCACTCACTCACTCACTCACTCACTCACTCACTCACTCACTCACTCACTCACTCACTCACTCACTCACTCACTCACTCACTCACTCACTCACTCACTCACTCACTCACTCACTCACTCACTCACTCACTCACTCACTCACTCACTCACTCACTCACTCACTCACTCACTCACTCACTCACTCACTCACTCACTCACTCACTCACTCACTCACTCACTCACTCACTCACTCACTCACTCACTCACTCACTCACTCACTCACTCACTCACTCACTCACTCACTCACTCACTCACTCACTCACTCACTCACTCTGATATTCAGCCAAAATCCACAAACCTGTGATAAACATGTAAAACGTCCTGCCTACCCAAATGCCTCTGAGTGTATACTGTCATTGTTTACCCAGACCTGATCGCAACATCTTGTAAGAACAGACACGTGAAGATTCCGGGGTAGAATAGGTCTTCAGCAACCCATGCTTGCCGTAAAAGGCGACTATGCTTGTCGAAGGAGGCGACTAACGGGATCGGGTGGTCAGGCTCGCTGACTTGGTTGATGCATGTCATCGATCCCAATTACGTGGATCGATGCTCATGATATTAATCACTGGATTATCTGGTCCAGACTCGATTATTTACAGACCGCCGTCATATAGCTGGAATATTGATGAGTGCGGCGTTAAACGACCAGCCAACCAAATCTTGTAAGAACACTGCTTGTGTAAATGTAATTACTATGTGGTCTTCCCCTTCAAAATATTTCCAAAATTGTTTTGAATAAAGGTTTAAAATTAGCTATATCGTGTTGTAGACTTGTCACGGTGGTGCAATCTGCCGTCACGTGCCTTTGTCGTGCCTGGGTCCTTTCTCGTTGGTTCGAATCCAAGATTTCACTTTTTGCTGCTGACTGGTTCTATCAGTGCTAAACGTGTACGACGAGCATCAGCTCAGGCTTTCCCCCCACTTCAAGTCGACAACGTGATATAACTGGGATACTGTTCATCACAGCGTTAACCCCCTGAATGGGTCCTTGACAACAGTGGAGAGTGGTGTAAATTTAAGGAAGCAAATGTTATGTTCAATGTACCAAATTCCTTTCCTGACATATCAGCAAAACATTATCTCCGGAACAAGCATAGTAGGAAACACGAATGATAAAATGTGCTACATAAAACACATATTTTGTTATGTATTCACAAACGGTGTGTGGTAGTTATTAACGCATCTTCCCGAGGCAAGTGAGTTAACTGACTATAAAAGTCAAGTTTCCACCCTGGTATTATGGAGTTAAATTTTGGCTGGACTAACGAGTCTATGCATAGTCCAATCAAAATCGCGCACCGAAATCGAAATCCGGTTCGTAAAGTGTCATGCAGATTTCGGTCGACTGCAGGATTTGCAAAACATGTGCACCGCTAACTCGTTGTCAACAGATATTTTCTAAATTTTTTCATGTTTTTATTCAAGGTGCTCACGGGATTTGATGCACTTCGCGATGTAAGACTCGTCTTATCACAATATAGATCTTGATTATCGATCAGATCGTCTTGACTGGGCGCCACCGTTTCGTTTGAAGCAAATGCAAGTGATACGAGAGATGGAATCTGATTGGTCCATAGGACAGGAAAAGAAGGGACTTGACTCGTAACAGCCACTGGAATTCCAGCCTAGTTCGGCAAGGGTTGAAACTGGACTTTTCAGTCAGTTAACTCTCTTGCCTCGGGAAGATGTTATTAACGCTGATGGCATGCCCCACACCCCCATCGCTGGTCGTAAGAGGCTAAATTGGACAACCCTGTGTGGCGGAAGACGGATTCTGGTGGTTGAGGTCACTGGAGCCAGGAACAGGTGTTCCTTTTTCCCAACACACCATATGGACCCAACTTCACCAATACGGGTGGTAGAATGGTAACTGACTGAGCTCCGTCCACACTGTGAAGCAAAGTGCAAATTTACCTAGCCATGCCTGTGACATTACGGAACTGAACGAAAAGGGTCGAATAGGTGACGGACACTTACGAAGGTTACGGGTAGGCATGGTGTCTCGTGGACACTCGTGAAGAGCAACCTCCCCGTGGTGACCCTGTTGCTAGGCTGACGTCACATGGTATTGTTTCGCCGGTAGATCTTGCAACAAAATTTCCCAAACTACGTCATCAGGTATTGTGACGTAATTGTAAACTTTGTGGTGCAGGACCCCGTTCCACAAGGCGATCGTAGCGCAACGACACTTGTACGTCTAGGTATATTGGAGTTATTGATAACCTTAGCGCTGCGAAAACTTTCTGGAAAGGAGCCCTGAATTCTTAAGGTGGGCCGTTGCATGGTATTACAGTAATAAGTGTCAACGTTTGACGTGTTTGAAGTATTGTTTTGTTAAACTCAATTGGATTGTGCTGTGGATCGCGTAGATGTCTGCCTGTATTCACACACGACATTGAAATTCTAAAAAATAGTTTTAAACGGCAAGTAATAAATAAAATACTAAACGAGCTCCCGTGTAATACCAATTTAATGCAACACGTGAATAGTTCTGGTATCTGACTCGCGAAAATTCTATACATGTTAAAAAAACCAACATGGTGTCGCGCATGCGCGTGCGGCGAATCTTTCACATTGGCCTCTGACGTCAATTTGGACACCTTCAAACGGTTGTATTTCCCTGACGACCCTTTATATAGGTGTGTCGGATTTCTAATCATACGTCTTTGAATTTGGAGAGCTTTCATACTCTAAAGTCGCTTGATATATGAGAAAAGTGTGTTTTCACCTCTCTAGCAAAAGTACATCCAAGTCAGCAAACGAAAAAAACCAAATTGCGATCGTATCCCAGTTGTGTAGATCGATGTTCATGATCGATGCAATTACTGGATTGTCTGGTCCAGACTCGATTATTTACAGTCGTCATATAGCTGAAATCTTGCTTAGCGCAGCTTAAACAACAAACAAACAAACAAATAAAAGTACACCACGATGTGTTGAAATAAAAAGGAGTCGGCGTTTATGTTCAGTTGATTGTCGTAAGTGAGATAACGTTTGACATAAACCTGTAACTAGGATATTCTTGCAAGCTGTGGTAAATGCTTGTATGTATTGTGAGCTTCTCTATTGGTTTTGATAACTATAAATTACACAACATATATGTTTGAATTACAAAAAAATCTTTATTTGCTGTCATAATTTGCGGTATTATCAGCATTTGCATTTGTATGGAACCTGTATGTCAACTTTCATAATGTTCTTTCATTGTGCAGAATAACACAGAAGTTCGTCATAGAGAATAAGTTACTACTTTGTATGATCTGGATTACATTGACATTGACACAAGTTCATCTGGATTACATTGACATTGACATAAGTTCATCTGGATTACATTGACATTGACATAAGTTCATCTAGATTACATTGACATTGACATAAGTTCATCTGGATTACATTGACATTGACATAAGTTCATCTAGATTACATTGACATTGACATAAGTTCATCTGGATTACATTGACATTGACATAAGTTCATCTGGATTACATTGACATTGACATAAGTTCATCTTGGTTACATTGACATTGACATAAGTTCATCATGATTACATTGACATTGACATAAGTTCATCTGGATTACATTGACATTGACATAAGTTCATCTGGATTACATTGACATTGACATAAGTTCCTTTGTCTTGAAGTGACTGAGTGAACAAGTGTGTGATTGTGGTTCTACGCTTCACGTACTATCCTGGAAATAACGAGGAGGGCGGTACCGTGAATAAGCCCCCCCTACACGTGTGTTATATTGCTGGAAAATTGTTACCTATGGCATAAAACCTACTCTGTCACTCACTCACTCACCCACTTTAGCGAGAGTTCTTTGAGGCTCGGTTAGCCTGGAACACAATCGATCGGTGCATGGCTGATTTCCTTGTCCGCGACAGAACGAACACAACATGGATAAATAGGCAGGGGAAAGTTTTCCTGCAAGAAAAAATGTGTAATCATAATCTCATATATATATATATATGAAAGTTGAAAAGCGCTAGCCAATTAAAACTGTGTTCAATCTTACTCCACTTATTTAATTATTATATATATATATATGTATGTATGTAATACGAGAATACAGTTAACATTCTCCTTGAAGTCATTGTGAAATTCTCATGTGCAATTGGTCGAATGCAGAAAAAAATATATCATTATTGTCTTTTGAGGTTTTTACCCCAAAGGACGTGTGTTGTTTGTGTACCCCTATTTTAATCCAGCGATATTTAAATTTTTGTATTATCAACCAATTCTTGCGCAACGTTTTGATTATAAACGACTGCTATTGAATTATTAAAATTGCCACCTTAAAAAGCAATTTCTAAAATTCCTAAAAAGCAAAAGACACCAGTTCAGTATGTCTCTGGTAGACATGCAAAGTTTTGTAAGAAAGTATTTAACGGTTTTTGAGTAACGCTCCGGAAACGAACACCACCCTTATAGAACCTAAGTCCAACTTGTTGCCATGGAAACGTAAAAAACAAAAAATTCTAAAATGCCTAAATATCAAAAGGCACCAGTTCAGCATGAGTCTGATAGACATGCAAAGTTTCGTAGAGAAATATTAAACGGTTTCTTAGTTATGCTCCGGAAACGATATCGGGACGAACGCACACACGCCAAACGCAAACACGCACACACGCACGGACGGACGGAACCATACTTTATATCCCCCGCCAACTTCGTTAGGGCGGGGGATAAAAATAAGAAAACGTTTTGAATATGGGTTTGAAAGTTAACGTACGTGGTTATGTGTATGACGTTTTTATTTCTAGTGATTGAGTTAAACTTAAAGTCACACCAGGCAGTAATTCAGCAATGTCGTGACTACAAGTTGTACGTTAATAAAACATTTAGAATATATAAAACCTGTGGACAAAGAGCAGTAAAATAACTAGACCATCATATTTATATTTAAACCTAGTATGGAGCAAAACAAGATGGCACAATACAAAAAAATACATAATATAAAAAAAACGGACTTTGGATCACCAGCAAACAAAGCAAGCCACCAATCTACAGACCAGGGGGACCCGTGAAGATTCCGGGGTAGAATAGGTCTTCAGCAACCCATGCGTGCCGTAAAAGGTGACTATGCTTGTCGTAAAAGGCGACTTACGGGATCGAGTGGTCAGGCTCGCTGACTTGGTTGATGCATGTCATCGATATCCCAATTGCGTGGATCGATGCACATGATATCAATCACTGGATTGTCTGGTCCAGACTGGATTCTTAACAGACCGCCGTCATATAGCTGTAATATTGCTTAGTGCGGCGTTAAACAGCAAACCAACCAACCGACCAACAGACCATGGGGTCTTACGGTATCTCCGCCACACTCATGGTACCCCAGCAGGATTTACACCATGCATCCCTCTAGCTTCCAGCGATTGTCATCAAGTTTATCCAAAATTAAAACAAACAATGATTCTACGACTACAATAGTAGTAGGTGAGGTGAAATGGGGTTTAACGTCGCGTCCAAGATTATTGCACTTATATAGCGACGTGCATGCACGTGTATGTGTGTGTGTGGCTGCTTGTACTAGTCCGGACTGACGCCGATTTATAGTGCTAGCTCACTGAGATACCATGCCGCAGTTTAACATGAATACCCCACTCAGACACAGTATACTGACTCCGAGCCGACCAGTCCTTGTTTTAGCCCCTTAATGCCGAGCGCCAGACAGGGTAACAACAAGTACCATCTTTTGGTCTTTTGGCATGACGCGGCTGGGGATCGAACCCCGGACCTTCCGCTCTCCGGGCGGACGCTCTACCATTAGACCACGGAGGCGGTCTACAATAGTAGTAGGGAATTAACGTACTTTGAATGATGTGGTTTCACATACCCTCTCAGGTAGACAATCATTTTACGCTACTTCAGCCCCCTTTGAAGACCTCACGACGAACAATCTCACTTACAAATTTGACTGACTGACTGACTGAGTGAGTATGGTTTGACGCCGATTTTAGCAATATTCCAGTAATATCACGGCGGGGGACACCAGAAATGGGCTTCACACATTGTACCCATGTCGGGAATCGAACCCGGGTCTTCGGCGTGACGAGCGAACGCTTTAACCACTAGGCTACCCGACCACCCCTACAAATTAGACAGTTAATAAGAGTAAGAATATGGTCACTTCCCTGAGGTTATCGTGGACTGCCGATTCAAGTTCAAACAGGAAATTAGAATCTACAACTGATAAGTCCAGACAAGGGTAAGTAAGAACCATCATTTAAATAATGCATAAATCGTTATTTAAGAAAAAATATTCAAGTAATTTTCCTTTTGTATTGGTTTCATAACTACTGCAAAGAGGGCTATGGGTACAATGTGTGAAGCCAATTTCTGGTGTCCCCCGCCATGATATTGCTGGAATATTGGTAAAAGCGGCGTAAAACTATACTCACTCTCTCTCTATGGCGCTCTATATCTCCCATGATAACTGGTGCTCAGGAGCTGATCATACAGCGTCCATAGATCAGATTGTCGAAGAGAATGCGAAAGTGGTATATATAAAGAACATCGAGTGAAAACAATATTCAGTGTTTCACTACCGCAACAGCCTACCGGGACTGCACGTATTTAAGCCCTGGGCTTAATTACGGATTTTGCCTATTTTAATAAGGTAACATTTTATCCAAATTTAAGCCCAGGGCTTAAATTCGATAAATGGACAAAAACACGCTACGAAAAATGAATATCTCAAGTTTAATGAAACAATACTCACAACTGGAATGAAACAACAACACTTTAACATAAAAAAATGATTTTCTTTTTCAAATTCAAAAAGTTCAAAATTGTAAAGACAGTGTCTAACTCGATGTGAGTTCTTTAATGACTGTAAAACCGTCTTCGACTTCATCTTCTGAGGTGGAAGATTCAAGAGGATCGTCGTCTTTGTTCTCATCCGAGTGAACAAAGCCTTCACTCTCCTACCCAGAGTTCCATGCGACCGGTGTCCCGGTATAAACTCTCCCCCGTACAAATTCTCCCCCCGGAGAGTTTATACCGGTACAGATTCTCCCCCGGAGAATCTGTTCTGAAATAAAATCTCCCCCGGGCGGATATGTTTCGCGCCCCCCTCAGTATAAAGTCTCCCCCCTGATTATTCGGTTTGTTGCAATGTCTTTCAGTATTATATTCTTTAAATAGTTATCTTTAATGTAAGGAGGGTTACTTTAAAAAAATAGATTATGAAATATGGTCATAATGAATTGATACTTCAGCATATTTTATGTGGTAACTGTACCTTCCATCCTAAAATAATTATAAGACATAATCATACCAAACAAATTTGAATGAAATGACTTAATGTAACAAATACATGTACGGTTACTGTTGTAACATAATTCAGAAATCTTATTAATCCTCGCAAACATACGGTTTTACCACTAACTACGTAAAAACTGTCAACATATCCACGCGCGCCTCCAGCTCAGGCTGTCCGTTATACTCTGATTTAAGATCTAAAATATATTCCTTAATACAGGCTACGATTTGAAAATGGTATCAGTGTAATATCAGTGGCTAGAATATCATGGTGCAAGCAGGTTTCTGTTAAACATACAACATCATAACTATCTAATTCAGCACTGATAAAATCTACTTTGTCTTTAAGACTGCGTACGTTTAGATATATAATCTTTAATTCTGGACTATGCAAAGGTCCTGGATTCGGATGGATATCACCGCAGCCGAAGAGAAAAAGTAAAACTAAGAATGATAATCGGAAATTAGATAAGCAAAGTAACCCAAAATATAGAGAAATGTGTATCACCTTCCCGAAATGATAAGCATTTAGAATAGATTTTAAAAAAAACCCCACCCCAGCCTGTATTGAATAACATCAACCGGCATCGTCAAAGCAAAGTGTACATGTAATTGTTACAATCGGGCTGGCCGTGAATCTTAATGAAGAACACCTTGTTAAAAAGACACACCGAAACTGATTTGCATAACTGATGACCACAACCATCAAAATAGTAAAAATGATACAGTATAACCTCATACTGAAGAGAAAACAAGAAAAACACAGAGAAGTAAAATAGCACGTCATATAGAAATGAGATAAAGTAATCTGAGAAGGGATTCATACGTTATATACAACTTTAAAAAATAATATTATGAAAAACGAAAGGAAAAGTGCCCCCCCCCCCACCCCACACCCCCCAAAAAAAAGAAAAGAAAGAAAAATACCCCGCAAAATCAATCAAAATCAAAATCAACAAGTAAAAGGAAACAACCACACACACACAAGTAACTAAATGTATATTTAGATAAATATATAACCCAGAACAAATAAAGGAGAGAAAAAAATAAATAAAAAATACATTTTTTTATTAAACAAATAAACATTCAAACCTTGAGGAATATGAAAAGCCAATGTGTAATACTAAAGCAAGAAGACACGATAAACTGTACCAACATTACAATGTTCCCCGATGTGCATGCTTTACCTGGGCTACATACGGGTGATCTAAGTTAGAAATATATGACTGATATACATTCTTTATACACGGTAATATCGAATATTCTTGGATTATCTTTTTTTTCAAATGTGCTCCATTCAAGAAAAGTTATATAGAATTATATATTTGACATATTTAAACTAGAAATTATGTCCAATGAACATGATGTATTGAAGCAATTGACCTTGAATTTGTTTTCCAAAATATGCTATCATGCTTATGAAAGTGCTTTCCATAAATACAGAGTTTGTTGTTTCTAATACAGTTGTTGTTGTCTGTATACAGTTTTTTAATTTACCAGTTTGAGTCTACATGTGAACACAATCGATGGTTGAAATGTAAGTCTAAGAACAAAACATGAACTAATTCTCAAGAACTCCTTCATCTTTGACTGACTGATGTATTTTCAATCTTTATTCAGCACTGAAGAGGCACCATGCCTATAGTACGAAGCATTAA